AGCCCGCAGCGCTCCCCGAGTGGGGGCCTCACTGCGCCACTGGGCCGCTGCTGCGACCAACTCACCAGGGAGCTCCTGAGGAAGCGTGGGGCTGGGGAGGCCAGGCGGGCCAGCCACACTCCCACCAGGAGGTCCCTGGCCAGGGGGGGCCCTGGGCACGGCTGCCCACGAGTGGGCGCTGCAAAGGGGGCTGCAGACCGCCGCCGGGCAGCCTTCCAAGACGGCGCAGTCGGGCAGACCGCCGAGGGCGCGCCAGGCACTGGGGCATGGCAGGGCCAGGCGGCCGTCCTCCCAGCAGCGCAAGGGCAGTGGGCCCATGGGGCGCTGCAGGCCGCCGCCGAGCAACCACCCCAGACGGCGTGGCACGGCCAGCCAGCCGAGCCAGCGTCGTCCGCGTGGGACTGGTCGAGCCAGGCGGCGCCGGGGCAGCGGGCCCGAGGCGCGGTGGTCCGCGCGCAGGTGCCGCAGGCTGCCTCCGGGAAGCTGCTCCAGCCGGCGCAGCCAGAGCACGGAGACGAGGGTGTGCTGTGCCTGTGGACCGGGTCGGGCTAGCAGTCACCTTTTCGTGCAGCGGCCGGGCAGAGGGTCCAGGGCGAGGGGCCGCACAGAGCAGCGTCACTCTGGCGACCGCTCCGTGCCTGGGAGGCGGCGAAGTTCGCCAAGCACGTGGCCACCCGCTGCGGCTGCCAACCCGCTCTTCCGCCTGTGCCCCCTTTCCCAAGCGGCCCACGAGGATGCGACAGGGCGGGATCCGAGCAGGTAGGACTCCCTGATGCCAGGGGGGGCATTCCGAACGACATGCAGATCGTCCACTGGGAGAAGAGCTGGCCCCCATGTCGCCGCTCCTCGGAGGGTACGGCGTACGGCGCCAAGTGGTCCCACGTGCCTAGCCCGCCGACGGGCGTGTTCTTCCAGGGGGCCCTCGGGAGAGGGGCAGTGACCATCTACGCGCCGGTCGGAAGAAGTGGGTAGAAACATGAAGTAGGAAGGCGTTGGAAGTAGATTGGACTTCCGCCCGCCCCCCGAGGAGGAGGAGGAGGAAAGAAGGAAAACCGCTCGACTCTTGAAGTAGGAAGGCGCCTAAAGTAGATTAGGATTTGGGCATCCAAAAATATCTACTTTCAACGACCGGCGTGTACCACTCCTCCATAGGGGGCAAGGTCCACGTGGCCGCAAATCCCGCGGAGCGAGGGAGGTGCTCCTGGAGAAAATCTTGGCGTGGACGGAGCCGCTCAACAACCACGGCAGGCCGCTGGTTGCCCCGCGGGCGGACGCCTTGCCGCCCCGGCCTGCTCAGATATGGGCCGCGGGGCGCTCTGTGCATCCCGTCTTTTTCTCCCGGCCGAGGCTCTTCTTCCCCATCCCGCCCTCTCTTTGCAAGTGTTTTTCCCTGCCAGCGCAGTCCGTTATCCTGAGCTCGCCTGGCGCGGCGCCTGGGAGAGGCAGTGCGCAAGAGACTCGTGGTGAATGTCAAGGTGCATCAACTTAAAGATGATGTTGTGTAAGCCTCTTACTGGAAATCGGTTTCTTCCTCCCCGTCCTTGTTTCCATTCCCCCTCGTTTCCTCCATCGGAGATGCTGAGCCGGTCGAATCTGGGGGCGCGGCTCACGCTATTCTCCGTCCTGGTGCGCTTCGACACTCGAAGGTGTGACTGAGGTCGTTGTGCGAGATCAGTGATGGAGGCATGGATCCCCTCTCCAAACCTGCCCACTCGTTTCCCCTCCCGGCCCGGCCCGCTCGCCCCAAACTCTCCCCCAAACACACTGCAACAGCCGCATTTTACCATGGAATGGCGCGCGCGCGCGCCGGACAGCGTCGGTGCGCGCAGATGGCGCCAGCTGCGCGTTGCAGAGGTCCTGGCGGCCTACTCTCATGAAAATCCCGAGGGATAACCTCTCTCTCTTTCTCCTCGTGCTCCTCCTCCGTCTGCTCTGCTTCTCCTGCTGCCGTGCCTCCCCCCTGCCGCTCCCTCCTCCCCCGCGCGCGCGCTGGGGCACGGCCCAGCCCGCGGGCGTCAGCGGCCCAGCGTCCGGGAGGAGCGCATTGGCTCGGCCAGGCCGCGGAGGGGGGACCTCCCGCCCAGGGGGGCCAGCTTCCCGGCGGGGCGCTCCGGGGGATGCCGCCCACCCTCGGCGGGAGCCGCCTGCGGCTGCCGGGACCCTCTGGAGTGTCCCCCCCCCTCTCTTCCTCTCCCTGCTGCCCTCCTCTCCTATCCCCTCGTCCTCCGTCCTCTGTTCCCCTCCCCCGTCCCCCCTCCCTGTTCTCTCTCCCCCCCCGTCTGGGTCCTCGGTGCGCTCGGCGGGGCAGGCCGGGCTGGGACGGAGGCGTCGCTGGTGTGCAAGACGAGCTCTTGACCCCGTGTGGGCGCGGCCCCACCTCGGCACCACCGTACCTAAATGTCACGGAGTTGGTGCGTCGCGTGTCGAAATTCATGAGCCCTCCTCCTCCTCCTCCTCCTCCTCCTCCTCCTCCTCCTCCTCCTCCTCCTCCTCCTCCCTCCTCTCCCCTCCTCCTCCCTCCCCTCCCTCCCTCCCTCCCTTCCCCCTCCCTCCCTCCCTCCTCCTCCTCCTCCTCCTCCTCCTCCCTCCTCCTCCTCCTCCCTCCTCCTCCTCCTCCTCCTCCTCCTCCTCCTCCTCCTCCTCCTCCTCCTCCTCCTCCTGTTGTCCCTCCCTCCCTCCCTCCCTCCCTCCCTCTCCGCTCCCCCTGGGGGGTGTTGGGATGGGCTTGGGCTGGACGGATTCCGCTCGCCCCTCCGCACGATTTTCCTGCATCCGCGCCGTGGAGGAGGTCCGCTTGATTTCGCCCAAGAGTCCCGCCGCTGGATCGACTCGCTGCGTTCCTCGCGGCTCGTGGAGGGATCAATCGCCCGCGACTCTCGGTTTCGAGGCCCATGGATGAATTGGCGCGGACAAGACTGTTCTTGGGCGTTCCGCCATGGCGGGGGCCAGCAGCAACGCTCAGCGAGATAGGCTGGCACGTGTCGGGGGCAGCGCGGCGGGTGCGAGGTGTGGCACCCAGGAGAACATGTTCGCGAGTCCTTCCCGACGGTGACCTGTACCGAAACGTATTCCTAGGTGCGCACGAGTGGGACGGCCGCACGTGGGCCAGGGCCTCTTCAGTTCTTCTCAGCTCCTGCGGCATACCAGACTGGCCGATTTGGTCCCTACAGCGCCACCAGGCACAAGGGCCGGTTACAAGGCCGAGGTTCAGGACAGGTTGGCACGGTTTTCAAGAAGAGCGCTGGCAGCAAGCAGCTGGCCCGCTTCTCCCGTTGCCATATCTCTCCCTGCGTACTAGGCTCCCGACGGACCTGCAGTAGATACATGCAAAGACAGAGCCCACCCCCTCGTGGGAGGTCCTGTTGGGCCAATGGTGCCTTCGTGCTGGGGCATGAGCTGGGCAGGCACCCCTGGGCACGAACCCAAGAATGTACCCTGTGGTATCAGCGCGAGGAGGCGCACCTTCCATGATCATGGAATGTGTGAGGCTGTGTCGGAGCAGCGTGCGGATTTCTGGCGCGCCCGCGGTGCACCGCAACCGGAGTCGAAGGCAGCGTGCGGAGGCAATGCTGGACTCATTGGTACTCCACCCCAGACCAAGTTATGCGGAAACTGCCGCGCTCGCGCTGGCTTTGGACAGAGCGGAGGTTTGGTTCTGGTCGAAGGTGGTCGCCTTCCCCCATTTCTCTCCTTATCCTTCTCTCTCACTATCTCTCTCCTCCCTCCCTTTTGGCTGTGCTTCTTTCGCGGCAAGGGTCTATTCGGACCTAGGCTCTCGGCCGGAACTCGGGGGGCATTACTCTCCAGCGCGCCCCGCCGACCGGGAGCACCCTCCATAGAGGCGCGCCGTGTGGTCCTCCTGCATAGGTTCAGCTCGTTTTGGGGCCGTTCATGGAGTCGAAATCGTGTGCGCACGGGCCTCTGCTGGGGGTTGCGGGTGTCGGGCTGGGGTGGGCTGGGAAGGGAGTTCCTCGTATCCTCTTCTCGGAAGGGCCCGAGGGGCTTCCAAGAAGCCTCCTTGCAGGCTGCCGAGCCCTTCTCAGACGGCTCCTCCCCCGCCCTCTCAGGAGGCCGACCCCCTCGCGCCACCCCTTTCGTGGGCGCCGCCGAGGGTGGCCGAGAGAGCGGCGGGCCCCATGTCGCGACGGCTTCTGCACTGGTTTCCGGCCCACTGCGGCAGTCGCCGCCACGACGCGGCACCGCCCGAGCGCCAGCCGTTCCCTGGGTTCACAACCAGGGTGTTCCACAGACCAGCGCGCTCTGGCTTCCCACACTGCGTGAATCGTTCTACCCTGAACGATCCCGGCTTTCCGACAGCGCGGATCTTTCGAAGTCGGCCGTTTTTGGGCCACTGGCTGCGTTCAACCTTGAACGCCCGCGCTGGAGTCGCCGCCGCGCCCACGCGGCGTAAACCTGCCGCAGAGCCACGACCCACCCCGGAGGAAGTCCGAGAGGGCATGACTCTCTCAAGCGAGGGCAAGATAGTACATGTCAGAACAAGGCGATGTGAGAGGACTATGCGGGCGCAAGGGCACCCGTGATTCTGCTGAAGGGTCGGCCTGCTCTTTGGTCGCGACTGCACGAGTGAGCGGGCCTACGCTCGCTCTCGAGGATTCGAACGCGGAGCCTTATGCATGTGCTGACTGCCTGGACGAAGGAAAGGCGAGGACTAGGAAACAGGTCGTCCCACTATGTCACACTCGCAGACGTTTTACAGCGGCGGCGGCCGTGGCACAATACCTAACCCAGACGTCTTCACGATATCGTCCAGTGAGGCGTCTACTCGCGAAGCGAAAAGGGATGCCCGAATATCTCGATCATCCTCCAAAACTTCATCCCCTCACTCCCGTCCCGTCTTCTTCTTCTTCTTCTTCTGCTTCTTCTTCTTCCTCCTCCTCCTTCTTTCCTCATCCCCCCCCCTCCTCGCGCGCGGCGCGCCCGGGGCGGAGGGCCGGAGGGGCGCGGCGGACCAGGGGCGCCACCAGCGGCGGGGGCGCGTT